TGTCCAATACTCTAAACTGAAAGTATAAGAGGAAATTACAATATATATATATATATATATATAACGTAAAACTGTAACTTACTTTTAATTTTAGTATCAGAATATATCTTACCAAACCATTACTGCAGAAGATAAAGCGAGTTTGAAGTAAGGAACAATAAGCCATAATGATTCCCAAGAGAATCCTTCCCATGTATGCGCCAATCTTTTGGCCAACTTCACATAGGCAGCCAACATTATTATTGCTATCCACAACGAAATCGAGACTGCCAAGGCAGCTCCCTCGAAACCAAGGCTTGTCGAACGAACCAAACTGTATACAATTCCGATATGAATTCCTAATGGAATCATCGAAAACAAAATCAGCGGCATGACAATTGATTGTGTCTGAAGAAATCTCATAATATTTTGTAGAAAACCGTAGGCAAATAAGCCTGGGATAAGGTACTTCATGTAGAGAGCAGCTGATTTCGAAATCTTAGCATCTTGGTGGAGTAACAACAGTAATGGTTTCGTGAAGAACCATATGATCGATATAAATATTGAGAAGACGAACGATATGATGCAAGATGTTTGTAGATAAACTCCCAACATTGTATACAAATTTGCTCCGTACCCTTGTCCACAAAGAGTCTCTAGTGCTCCGCTTAATCCAGTCTACAATGAAAAAAAATTTAGTACGTTGTTTGACATTCAAGTACATGGAAAGCAGAGCGGGAGAGGTAAAGTAGTACCAGGAAAGCAAAACCAGATACAACAGCCCACGAATTAGCGAGAGTGGCTCCGGCGAGCTGAAGCTGACCGAGGTGGCCGGCGAACATGATGGAGACCAAACTGATGGAGGAGTAGGATACGTTTGTAAGGATAAGAGGAAGTGAGAGCAAAGCTTGTTTCTTGGCCTCTTCAACATCCACTGCTTTCTTCCAAAACGAAATCATTCTTGAGTTATACTTTCATAATCTGCATATACCTATATAAACTAAAGTTTATATAAGTGAATATGCACGTCTGTTATACATATATAAGGTAAGGATTGTTTAGGTTTAAAACTGTGGCAGCGCTATGATGAGCACGAAAGTGAAAAGCCTTCAGAACTCACAGATCTAGAGATGGTTTGTACTTGTTGGAATACGGAAAGAAACAGTTGGAGGGTCTTTCTTCCTTAAAGAACTTATATACATACATATATATATATATATATAAACTAATCTATTCATATAAGTAATTCTTTTTTTAGAAGAATTCATAATACATACTTCTTATAATTTACTATTTATGAAAATATTAGAAGAAATAGATGATCCACTCATACCTACAAATCAAGGAAGTATTCTCATGCTTCAAGAATCGATTGTCGTCAACTTCTTGCTATTTCTAATTTAATGATCAATTTTCTGTGTTCATCCAAAAAATTTCACCGTTTCAAATTAGATCAGATGATATATTCTTCTACAAGATACAAGATCATATACATATACATACACACACACATATATATATGTATATATAGTTTTTATGGCTTTTTGGTACCCCAAGTATTTTAAATTAGTTTCTAAATTATTATTTACTTATAATAATTGATAATATAAAGAAACAGTAAAGAATAATGAAGATAATAATAAAATTCTAGTAGTTGGTGACAGCAGATGGCGATGACACTTGTGCAGGTCGCCATTGTTGAACATGCAGAGGTTTAATACTTCAAAAATGGCATATTATGGGAAGAAGACAAGATGAAGATGAAGCTTTCGTCATTCGAAAATCTTCAAGATTAGCATCAAGACCGTTTTAATTGTTCGAGGCGGAGACATCTTTTACGTTTTTAAAGTGTTCTTTAATCGAATCTCAAATTACTATACTTAATTTAATAGTGGATACGTTATTTTTTTATTTTTTTTTATATAAAAAATTATATGTTTGAAGCATATTATATATTTATATATATTTTTATTTAAAAATTATTTATATATATATATATAAATTAACTTAATAGATAAAATAAAAGTTTATAAACGTAATTTTTAAAATTTTAATATTTAAAATTATTGGGTATATAATTTTGTAGGTAATTAATAATTAAATTTTATTATTCATTTAAAAATGTAAATATAAAATTATTTAAAAAGTTATACGTCATGATATATAATTTAATATTATTTTTGTATACGATATATTTAATAATATATGTCATATATATTTAATAATAATATCCCTTGTTTCGTAATTATCTTATAAAAACAGCTTTCACCAAGACTATCTCTAAAATTCTTGTGAGATATATATATATATATATATATATATATATATATATAGACACACATGAGGCCTGGGTATTCCTAAAGCTATATATTTAGAATAAATAATAAATTAATAGCATAAAAAATAGTTATTATTGGGGTTAATTAATTTAAAAATAAATAATTAGTTAGTTATAATTTTAAGTTTATAGTTTTAAAAGTTAAAATTAGTCTAAAAATATGTGTTGGCTAATTTAAAAATAAATAAGAAAAATAAAATTATGATGCGAAAATATTTTTAAAAAGTTAAAAAATGGCCCATGCAGGTCTCGAACCTGCGACCTTCGCGTTATTAGCACGACGCTCTAACCAACTGAGCTAATAGGCCGGTTGGTAGTACTGTTTGATGATATAAATAATTATTAAAATTAAACATTCCTCTCTCTTAAAGTCTTACAAAAGAAAAGCAAAAATCTAAACTCCGCAAGCAAAAGAAATTTCTTAACTCAATTACATGTTGGTTTACGAAGTGAAATATATATATATATATATAATATATAGTAAGTACGTATATATATATATATATGTATATATATGTAACTTATGCACTTGTTGTTTGTTTGCTGTCAACAAAAAGACATACTTTTTGTAGGGAGCCAAATATTATTTTATTGTAATTTTTTGGTAAATGACAAAGAAAATAATTTTTCAATTTAAGTAATGAGTTAATATGCACGTCAAATTTTTATAGATAATATTGATTCGTCGTGATTAAAATTATATTAAATATGTTGGATTTTGAATAAAAATATAATTAATTATATAAATTAAAATAATATTAACATAAATTAATAATAATAATCTCTAATTATAAATTAATATACAATAAAAAAAATAATAAGTAAATAATAATTATAAAATTAAATAAATATAAAATTTTACGTGAAAAATTTTTTAATATAAAAAAAATTACGGATCAAATTTTAAATTAAATCTATTATTAATAAAAATAAGTATAAAATAATTAATCGAAAATTAAATTTGGAAGAAAAGAAAACAAATTTTCTTTGTGCCGAACTTTGGGAAGAAAAGTAAACAATTATCAAATGAAACTTTCACAAGAAAAGACAAAATAACTTACGTCACCGATTGATGATGTCACCAAAGAGAATGACAACCTTTTTCTTCTCTCTTTTCTTTTGCAGCCACTCTACCACATATATATATATATATATATATAATATATTATATATATATATATATATATATATAGTGTTTATCTTCATTCTCTCTTATTTTTCTTCTCTGTTTTTCTAGCTCTACTCCTCTTATTATATAAGCAAGATTAGTAGTTTAAACTAATTTCTCTACTCGAAAAGATTTATGAAAATCTAAAATTTTATCTCTTCTTTATTTCTGTATTTTTTTTTCTTTTTTAATAGACTGGATCTTAACAATCTTTTTACAGTCCATAGGAGGTATCTACTCAATTTTTACTTAATCCCTCTATTTTGGTGCAAGATTGATGTTTGTCACGATTTTTAGTCACTATTTTAAACAGATGAGTCTGAATCTTCTTCAAAGAACTCGTATTCTACTTCATTGCATTTATCCACTGCACTTCTTGAAAGTTATCTGTCTTTCCCTTTTTCAATAACTGTAATATACTCAAAACTGAGATATTTTGTAGATAAATGATGAGTTTTGTTTATCATTCTAACATGAGGTTCTTCAACAATCTAATGTGGAAGGGGCTGTTCCCCTTTCTCAACATCATCATTTATATATACTGGTGCTGACACAGAATCACTTTTATCTCCTTTATTATTGAGATTTCTTATTGTAAAAGGAATTAATGCAAGTAGTTGTAGTATTATCAGATATCTCAAAAGCTAGTAGAGTCTTATAATTTATCAAATATTACATCTCTCGATTTGATGATTTTCTTCTTCACTGGATCCCACAATCTGTACTCAAATTTTGTATCTCCACAACCTAGAAGAATGCATGTAATAGTCTTGTCATCTAGTTTTTGTCTTTGCTTATTATGCACATGCACAAATGTCTTGCACGTGAATACCTTCAAGTGAGAGTAACTAACATCATTCTCAGAGTATACTCTATCAAGAATATCAAAATTCAAAGCAACTAATGGAGAGAGATTCATTATACAACTGGTAGTGTAAAATACTTCACCCTAAAATGAGTTGGGTAGGTTAGTCATTTTTAGCAAGCATCTGACCTTATTTATGATGGTTCTGTTTGTTCTTTCAATAACACCATTATGATGATGAATGCTTATAACAGTCTTTTTATGTCTGATTCTGTGCTGTAAACAGTAATTCTAAAAAAAAATTGAAATATATTCGTCACCATTATCATTGCTAAGACACTTTAAAAGTGTTCCTTTTCGTGTTTTTCTACCATAGTATGGAACTGCTTGAAACACTGTAAAATCTTATCTTTTTTTTTTCAAAACAAACACCCAAACTTTTTGTGAAGCATTATCAATAAATATAACAAAATGTCTACTACCGTCTAATAATTCCACATTAATGGGGCCACATACATCATAATATATTAACTCAAGTACATTTATTTTTTTCTTTCAGAAGAATTGTTAAAAGAAATTCTATGTTTCTTACCATATAAATAATCATCACAAGAATTTAAACTCATACATTTGAGAAAGGAAATGAGAGACTTCTTTACCAAAATCTGCAATTCTTTCTCACTCATATGAGCCAACCTCATATGCCACAAATCTGGCAAAATATTTTTTTCTGTTGCATTCAAAGTATCTCTAATTGTCTTTACTTAAGTCTTGTATAGTGTGTGACACAATCTACTCATTGCAACCACAATTGAACCTTTGATGAATTTTTATTTTCTACTACCAAATAAGTTGTAATAACTATCAAAATTCAGAACATGTGTAAAAATCAGATTTAGGCGTAAATCAAGTATGTGTCACATATTTTTTAAAGTTGATGTGCAACCATCTGTCTCCACACAAATGTCACCAATATCCACAATATCTGCATAACTAGTATTATCCATCTTTATTCTGCCAAAATTCTCTACTTTATACATAATAAAGACATCCCTCATGTGTGTCGCATGGTAGGATACTGCTGAATCAACAATTCATTTAGTATCAAGATCAATAACATGATCATATTCCTCAATAAAAGAAAGTACAACTAGTTTTTCATCATTAGTTACAACTATTGTGGTATTCTTATTATCTGCTTTCTTCTAATTATTTTGTTCCATTTTTCAAGTTATGTAGTTTTATTTCATATGTCAAACCTTACCACAATGATAACAACGGAATTTTTTTTTTTATTGCGTCTTTTAGGATCTCTGCTTTTACTTATACTCATACTCTAGGTGACAAAGGTAAGTGAAATATCAATGCTCATATCATTCATTCTAATTTGCTCATTACAAAAAGTGTTCTTTACCATGAAAATAAAACACCGTATGAAGCAGAGTTACCAAGAGATACCATCAATGTTTCCCAACTATCTGGCAACAAACTCAAAAGTAATAATATATGTATTTCATCACCTAGTGTTAACTTTATAATATTCAATATGATTTATCAAATTTTGAAACTTTATCAAGTGTTCTACTATTGACTGTCCATCTTGCAACTTTAGATTCACAAACTTTCTGATAACAAAATCTTTATTTTGAGCATTTTTTTCTCTTGTACATATTCTCCAATTCTTTCCACAAATCATTCATTGACTTCTTTGCTTATATAGTGATGGCTACTGATATCCACCCACTATCGAATAGTTCTAATGACTTTTCTGTACATTTTCTCTCAATCATCTTCTGATTTTCTAACTGGCTTTGCAGTCCTTAATTTAATAGGATCATACAAATCTCTACAATAAAAAAGATCCTCCATCTTTGTCTTCCAAATTTATTAATTTGAAACCGTTAATTTAATCATAATACCTGCGTATTCGTACATCCTAGTTTACAAAATTAATTCGGAACTACTGATAAATCAGACTCTGAAACCACTTATCGAGTCCCAAATAGAGATATAATTAATTGTGTAAATTAAGTTAATATCAAATTAATTCACATGAACTAATAATAATAATCTAAAACCAAATTGATGCACAATCGAGTAAAAATAATAAGCAGATAATAACCACAAAATTAAAAAGACAAAATAGCCGATGTCACTCATGATGTCACCAAGAAGAGAGAATGACATATGTATATATACACACACCTCTACCTCCTTTCTCTTTTTCTTTTTTCTCTTTCTTTTTTTCCACTCTACTCCTCTCATTTTATAAGCTAAAGAGTATTAGTTTAAACTAACTTCTCCTCTAGTAAAATTTTTTTCTAAAATCTGAAATTTTATCTCTTCTTTATTTCTGTATTTTTTTTTTCTTTAGAAATGGTTTTTTTAAGTTTAATGTTCGTATTTATATTATACAAACTTTTTTTTTGGACACAAACATCTATAATTTGAAGTCTCATCAGACTTTTTTAACACTGTCTATATAAATAACATGAGATACATATTCCTAATTGCGTATATTTCCTCTATTTGTTGTCTCAATTTTTGCTATAAAAAAATAATAATAATAAGACTAAAATAATAACATCAAATGCCCGAGTGTCCTACTATAACCAGAGTAAAAAAAAAAAAAAAAAAAAAATTTGTCACACTCGTGATGTTCATCTAACTAGCAATTAGAATCTACTGGAGTGGCTGCTACTTCTCTGTCTACCCTAAGATTTAATTTCCTCCAGTTTCTGCAGAAGGTGATCAGCAAGAGGGTGGTGGTTTGACACCCCAACCCGCATATTAAACCAATCCATAAACCCTGTACAGGGAAAAAAAAAAGATTAGGGTTAAAAAAAGAGAATTATCTGAGGATGCGCGGGTACGCGCATTTGCCAAACTCATGAATGATTTGATCCACCTTAATGTGTAGGCTCGTCTTAAAAGCAAGGAGGGCTGCGATTGGTAGGCCGAGGAAAAAGAACATTGCCAAGTTAACATATACGGCTAAGTGCTGCCACCCACATCCTCTCGCTACCCCTGGTGTCGAAATCGATGTATTAGTGTACGTAAAATCTTATGAGTTGAAGTAGCATGTGCTAATGGAGGTGTGCCGCGAAGTGAGCAAAAAACGAACTGTTATTTAGACTTGTGTGCGTGAAGGGAGTCAAATACTAACCTGCTAAAACACCCTGAATGGAGTCAAATACTATGGCGGCTGATAGGTAGGGTGTCATCATAGCAAATCCCTCTATGATCATAGGGCTTTTACTGAAAAAGCCAGCCCAAGTTTTATGACCAGCATCTAGTAAGATAATTACTATACAGGCAAGGAATATTGAGAATTTGAGAGTTAGACTCATGGCCCTTTTTGCTTTATCAGGATTTCCAGCTCCCAACTCATTGGCGACCCTTGTGCTGTGATACAAATATGTATAGATTGTGTTCAGTAAATACACCCAAATCAGATATTAATTAGCATCGATTAGCAACATATTTACCTTGCAGCAGCACTTAGACCATAGGTGAGCATGTAAGAAATAGTTTCTGTGTTTACGCTAAATTCGCAATAAGAAAAAAAAAAAAAAAAAAAAAAAGATATTGTTGTTAGGATTATGATGAAGAAGATTAGACGTTTAAGCTTGCAAATCGATGAGGCTTACCACATTGCGATCACAGAAGTAGTCATTTCTGGATTTTCCATTAATCCTGCTAAGAACACTAGAATCTCAAAAGTCCAGTATTCCAAACTGGCAAAACAAAACCAAATAATTACAGGTGAATACATCTAATAATTAGAAGAAGATTTATAGCGTCGTAATTATGTAAAAAGAGGTTTACGAGTGTAAACAGATATAATTTTCGTGTCGTATATAAATGCTTCTTTCAATTTAATCTTTAAAACAAATTCAACGAGAAAGATGAAGTTGCATTTTCTTTGCCAATATATGGAGAAGCAGATTGAAACATTTTTAACCGGAAAAATCTATTCAACTTTGTTACTCAATTTAAGTACTCAAATTGAGGATGGCAAGCTTACCAAACCATAGCTGCAGAATACAATGCCAGCTTCAAGTAGGAGAAGACGTGGAAGAATGATTCCATGGAAAATCCTTGCCACGTCTGCTTTAATTTCTTGGCCCAAGACACGTAGCCAGCCAGCAAGAAGATGGATATCCACATCGAGATTGAAACAGCCAAGGGAGCTCCCCTGTAGCCAAGCTGTGTCTTATGAACCAAAGCGTAAACCACCCCGAAATGAATGCCGACCGGGAGCATCGAGCACACCATCAATGGCAGAACAAGGGATTGTGTCTGCAGAAATCTCAAAACGTTCTGGATAAATCCATATGCGAACAAACTCGGGATTAGATACTTCATGTACACAGCGGCTTGTTTCGAGATGCTAGGAGCTTGGTGAAGCAAGATGAGTATTGGCTCAGTGAACCACCACAAGATTGATACGAGAACTGAGAATGTGAATGACACGATGCATGCAGCTTGAAGATCGATCCCCATCTTTCCGTATAATTGTGCACCGAATCCTTGTCCGCATAGAGTCTCAAGTGCTCCACTTAACCCTGTCTAAAATCACATCAAATCAGTTTACCAAGAAACCAGAAATGGCTGACATCTAAAACCATAAAGATGGAACTTGGAAGATAATAGAATTAGTAATAAACAGGGACAAACAAGAAAAGAATCGGAAAGAGACATATTTGTACCATGAAGGCAAAGCCGGTGACAGTCGCCCAAGAATTGCCAAGAGTTGCGCCAGCGAGCTCAAGATCACCAAGTTGGCCAGCAAACATGACTGAGATCATGGTGATACCAGTGTAGGAGACAGTAGTTAAGATGAGAGGAAAAGAAAGGTAAACCTGTTTCTTGACCTCTTTCACATCCAATGCTTTCTTCCAACACGACTTCCGCGGCCGAGCCGAGTTATTACTGCCATCTGGAGAAGGAGGGTTGACCGGAAACGACACAGTGTCATTGTTGTCAGCTGAAGCAGAGGTAGCAGGCAACGAGAACTGCGGCAGTGTCGTGTTTTTGCCATCTGAAGAATACGGGGTAGCCGGCGACGAGACTTGCTGAAGTTTGATGTTTTTACCATCTGAAAGAGACGAGGTGACCGGCAACGGCACCTGCGGCGGTGCGGTGTCCGTGCCATCTGAAGCAGACAAGGTGGCTGGCGACAACGACGTCGTGTTATTGCCATCTGAAACAGAGGGGGCGGCGTCCAGAGATCCTAGAGACGATGTCGTGTTGGTGCCATATGAAGCAGAGAAGATGGTGGGTAATGACAACCGCGGCGGTATGACGTTGGTGGCGTCTGAAACAGAGGTGGTGGCGGGTAACGACAGCCGCGGTGGTGTCATGTCGTTGCCATCTGCAGGGAAGGTGGTGAGAGGCAACGAGAACCATCGGGGAATTGACTTGTTGCTGTTGCCATCTAAAGCAGGGAGGGTGACGGCCATGGATTCAGAGGCAACCATGCAAAAAATTTACGTAAAGGATCTGGAGTAGACTGTTGGAAATAAACGATTTTTCAGAAGGCTTCTACGAGTGTATACTGGAAACAGTTCTTTAGGTTCTAAAGAGAAAATTACCTTTTTTTAAAGTAAAGGTTCAACTTGAATCAATCACAACATAATCTCAAAATAAAGTTTTATGAGATTAATATACAGATAATATACACGTATATACACATATATATTTGTATGTATGGGGCTGCTGAGACAGTCGCCATTGTTGAAAATTCATGTGTTCAAATTAGTATTGGCAACCTAAAATTGTGGTCTTGAGCTACTACAGATGGAATGGTTACAATTTATTCCAAGCAGATATGATCTATCAGATTTTACTCAAATTTCAAATTTATAAAAATAAAAATTTAAGGTACAGCATGTAAATTCATAATTTCTGATAACTCATTTACACTTTTTGAAATAGTTTATAGATAATAAAGTGTTGAAAATAGCTTTAAATTTTATTTTTTGGAAGTTTTAACGTATCAACTAATCAACAATAATTTAAAAAAAATAATTATTATTTATATTTACAAGAGTACGCAAAGTCATGTTTGAAATAAATTAAAAATTTGTATGGAATTAATTATTTTGTTTACACTTAAAAACAATAAATTAATATAAAATATATCTTAAATCACAAAAATTATACCCGTAAAGAATGTTATATTGAATTAAAATTACGTAGCAATGAATGTATTGATACTTTTTCATTTTCTCAGAATAAGTATAGAAACCATTCTGTGAATCCAGAACTTGACAAATGGAGGAGATAATGGAGGTATGTATTCGCACCAGAACAGAGGGATCGAATTGGATGCGCTGCAAAGCCAATCTGACGCCGTTTTATACGAATTTAACAAGCTTGCGAGGTTTATCTTGCGGCAGCTCCGTTCGTCTTCTCTATCCTCAATTGATCCGACTCTTTCGACTTTCTCCTTCAATTAGCAACACAAATAAACTGAATAATAATACGTCGAAATCAAATACCTGTCATTGTTTAATTTATATTATATTTAAATAAATATTATATGTATATTTTATAGAGACTCCATAGAAAAATCGTTGGAAGGTCTGTGTTTCTGTCGCAATTAATTGTACTTACTAAGCCGAATTGACTCTGGTTGCGGTGCCAAGTAGCCGCCAAGCGAGTCCAAAAACGTCGGCTTCGAACACAGAGAGTCCCGATACGTTGAATCTGGAAAACTGGAAAGTGAATGAGAGCAAGAGGGAGGAGTGTTGAAGAAGGATATTAATGGCGAATTAGAGGAACGGAGAGAAATTTCCTTCTTCAGCACTCCAAAATCTTTCGGTAACAAAAGCACTTGCAAGAATTTAGTTTTTCAAGATAAGGAGAACGAAATGGTAAAATAAGGAATCATTACACAACGAACTGTCATTATAAACCCGCTCATCATGTTCTTCCTCTGTAACAGAATGCGTGTATGGATGCCACGTGTCCTCCAGTTCATTACCAATTCGTTTACTTTGACTTCGAGCCAAAAAAAAGGGCAAAAAAAAAAAAAACACGATGGTTTGTTCTGATTCCGTTATTTTGGCGGTAAAACGGGATCTTCCAGAAGGGTCCACAGAAAAACCATTTTCTCGTGAATTTCTGTTCTTTTAATTATTTAATTATTTTTTTAAATTAATATTACAGCGTGATATTTTTTACGTTACATATTTCGCCACCTCTCTGTCTCTCTGGAAGTCAAAGAAGACGAATAGTCAACGCTCAAAACGTTGTCGTTTTGGAGTTTGATATTTTGCACTTAAATATTTGGATTTGGGTTAAAAAATAAAATATTTTAAATAAAATTTTTAAAAAATAGAAAACTGCGTTTAAAAATAATCAAATTCAGGAGCTTAAAAACCGGTCAAAGTCAAATCCCTCCTTCCAGTATCGAGCATCCACTGCTGGTGCGCGAAACCTGGATTCAAACCCACCAATTCCACCGTTACTAAACTTCAGGAGATCTCACAGTGAAAACAAATCCAAGGCCCCGGACGCGGATTCATGGCTGCCCCGATCAGTTTCCTCCACACAAAGTACTTGAAAGCAAAACCAATGGCCATCCCCGCCAAAGATTTCTAAACAAATTGAAAAAAGAACAAAAAAACTAGAGCGGAAATGGCGCAGGCACAACCCGAAGAGAAGCCTACAGAAGATTCCCGAGAGAAGGAAACAATGAAAGACACGATAACACAGGGTAGCGATGATAGCAGTAGTGGTGCCGGAGCCAATGGAGTATCGTTCAAATTCAATGCGCAGGCGCCGGAGTTTGTGCCGAGGTCGCATACTCAGATGCCGATGTCCGGCTATTTTTACCCTTATTTTCGTTATCTCGGCGGCTCTACTTCTGGGTCCGACTGGTTCTTTGTCGGGGATCAAGAACCCGCCGCGTTCTTCATCTCAAACCCCTCTGTTTCATTGCCTTATGCAAAATCATCCTCCTCCAAGAGTATTCTCTCCGATGATCTCCGCCAGAAGATCATCAAGCAGGTACATTCTCCTCTCCTTTCTTCCTTGATTTCTTTTTTGGGTTGTGTTTGGCATGATACTACGTATGAGACTGTTAGATTGCTAAGAGCTTATTTGATGCAAAATGGAAATCCATTGACATGTCTGGTTTGTCCATTTGGTATAGCATAAACTTTATTTATCTGATCATCTTGCCAGTACTATGTATAGGTCGGAATTTTTCAGTCTCATTTTTATATGTTCTAATCCTTAATCTCGAGTACCCTTTATTTCGAAACAAATCTCCAAAATGCACACAATCACACAAAGTGAAGAGTAAAAGTAAAAGAAACATAAGATTAAACGTGATTCGACAAACCTAACTACATCCACGAGGAAAAGTGAGAAGAAACTTTTCATTATGATTTTAAAAAAAAAAGAGATAATAGTACATTACTAATAGAATTGTAAATCTTTATATAAATAAAGTATTAGAATTTTTTCTCAAAATATGCACCGAATATTCTACATGATGTACGCAAAACTATCCCAAAATCAAGTCACGATAAACACCCTTATGTAATTTAGTTAAATACTTTGATATTAAGCACTTATTTAATCCAAGGATGGTTTGTAAAACAAGCAGGTGGAATACCAATTCAGTGACATGAGTCTTCTGGCAAATGAGTATCTGTCCAAACAGATAAGTAAAGATGTTGAAGGCTATGGTAAGGACTATTTGAGGAGTGTTCGGCTTGTTCTTTTCTAGTTGAAACTTGAAGAAAAGATTTTAATTACAAGTTTTTTTCTTTTCTCGGATTCAAACAGTGCCAATTTCCGTTGTTGCTTCAGCAAAGAAGATTAGATCACTCACTAGTAATCACCATTTGATTGCTCAAGCCCTTCGATCCTCGTCAAAACTCGTAAGTTATCTTTTGAATTATATAAAATCGTATTTTCATATTTTAAGAACAAAACTAATGCACAAAACAATAATTATTGTTCTCAAAATGTGTTTAAGATTGTGAATGAGGACGGTAAGAAGATCAAACGCAAATATCCTTTCATTGAGAAAGACAGAGAGGAATTACAGGTATGAATTAATTCAGCAGGCTTTCTTTCCGTGCTACTACATCTATTATCCAAAGGCTTAGTTGAGTCTAGTTTGTTAGTAAACTGCTTCAAAACTTTTTTTTTTTCTGCAGTCCCGCACTGTTGTGGCTGAGAATTTACCCGAAGATCACTCTTACCAGAACTTGGAGAAAATATTTGGTGTTGTTGGAAGGTAAAGTCTCAAGTTGATTGCTTAATCATATCCATTTCAGTATCTTACAAGGATGAGAAAATGTTTTGTGTGCATACTAATAATATTCACCATCCTTTACAGAATGAAAACAATTAGAATATGCCATCCTCAGGAATCCAACCCTTCTCGCCCCAAAGGTGATTTCCTAGTGAGTAACAAGGTTAGATATGACCACTTGAAACAAACTTGGTTTCTTTCAGATTAAGGGTCGGATTATTATTTTCTAAAGAAATTTGATTTCCCTTCTTTTTCCAAAGCTTCATGCACTTGTGGAATACGAGAGTGCAGATATTGCTGAGAAAGCGGTATGCTAAAAAATTTCTTTCTTTTCGACAACGTGATAGTATTTCAATGAAGCACTAAATTTGTAAGCTAACTTAATCAGGTTGAGAAGTTGAATGATGAAAGAAACTGGAGAAAAGGGCTTCGAGTGAGGTTGCTGCTTAGATGCTCAGTATGTTTTATTGCATTTTATCATGTTAATCCTATGCTGTTTCGATATGATCTTTTTGGTAGGCTTCTATCCCCATGGAAATCACGGTATTTGTTAAATTGAAAATGTTCAGCCAAAATCTGTTCTAAAGAACAGAAAGTCAGACTTTGATGGCCTTTTAGAAGATGAAGATGCTCCTGCTTCTGAATCAATTGAAGACTATCTGCAGTCGAACAATATAGAATCCGGTACCGAGAACAATGTAAGTGTCTTTCCCTGCATCTCATATGTGGTTATATCTTTTACATGTTGCAAAATAGTCCACAACAAGTTTCATTTCATTTCATCTTTTCTGGTAAAAAAGTCTCAAAGTAGCCTGGTTTCGTAGCCTCATTACACCTTTTACTTCAACAAGAATTTCTTCAAGAACAATAAGAAAATTAATGAAGTAACCACAAGTTTACCCTATCGATCCACCCTCTCGAACTAGAACACAGACCAACTTGACTCTTCCTTCATGCATTACTCTATAATACCAACACAAGATTCCTTTTAGGCTGAAGAAAATTCGGGGGGACTGAAGAGAGGATGGGCGAAAGGCCGTGGAAAGGGTCGCGGACGCGTTCAAAGCCACGGCGGACGTGGCCTGCTCGCTCCATCTCCTCAGTCCAGCACTGCAACGCAGTTTGAAGTTACCGGGAAACAGACTACCAGAGGTCCAAGAATGCCAGACGGAACAAGAGGATTCACAATGGGACGAGGCAAGCCACTGAACCTGACTGTGGAGTGATGGATTGATTCTCCTCCATTTTTGTTCTTGATCTACATATATATATAATTAATTACTTCTACACCTTGAAATAATCTATCTACATATATATATATACATACATACAGTAATAATTCAGGATGTATAGAGTAGGATGGATTGTCATTTCACAAGGCTTTTCTTTTTATTATATGATTTTACAGCCTACGCAAGGTTCATTTTTGGGAGAATGTCAAGTGGCTTATGCTAAATGGTTATTCTATTTGTGCCATATACAATTATACTAAATACACAAAGATTTATAAATCAATTTAAATTTACAATTTTTTATGTATAGATGATATTTCGCAACTGAATTCGGTTAATTCAATTTGCTCAAATTCGAATCGACATAATATATATATATATATGTAATTTTTTTTGTTATCACGAATATATTTATATTTATTTTGATAATTATAATTAACAATTTATATGTTTTTAATTTTTTATTAATTTAAATATAGTTATATTTATATGGATGTAATGATTTGTATTTGAATAATTCATAAATACAACGCAATTGGCCTATTAGCTCAGTTGGTTAGAGCGTCGTGCTAATAACGCGAAGGTCGCAGGTTCGAGACCTGCATGGGCCATCTTCTCCTTTTAATTATTTTTAATCAATGCAGAGAAGCTTTTTACAATCGAAGTTCCACAGCATTTTCTTCTTCTTATTTATTTATTTTTTTAAAAATCAATGCACAGAAGCGATTATGTAGAAAGTTAAAAAGGAAACTTCCTTTGCTGATGTCATCATAAAACGTGTCAAAACTTCTCATCTATATATATATATATACCCTACCTGCCCCATTAAGCCACCATTTCAAGACTCTACAACCCTCTTAAGTGCTTTCTCGAAGGCCCCCCCCCATTAATCCTGTGTAGACAATGAAAAGTCTTGTGGAAAAAATAATTTTCTAATTAACAATCTGTCTTCTGATACAATTATATATCAAATAAATATCTGGTAGATATATTAAACATATATATATATATGTATACAAAGTTGCTTTGCAGAAGCATGCATTGTAGAAAACCCATTTCTTATCATACTATTATAACACAGATGATCCTAATTAAGTGGATGCTGTCGTTGGAATCAGCTTATCTGTGCTATAATGGTACGATTATACAACCTTAAAATATCATAAAAACTATACTTTTAACACCAGTCGTGGATTGCCATTAGGTTCAAGCTACCTTAGTGGTCTAGCCACTTTTCGAAGCTCAACCAATGATCGAACTTCGATTACTCCTGGTTTCGGGTATAAATAATCACCGTACAATGCCAAACAGGTCATTGGCACTGTTAGCATTATCAAATTTGCTAACCCATTTCAAGCTATGGACTATAAAGTTTTCTTATACATCATTCTCATCCAAACCCTTCTGGTCCTGCATTTGTTTCCTCTTGCTTCTAATGCCTTCCCTTCTCGCGCATATAGATACCCTTTTGGATATGACGAGCTTAATTACAACTTTTACGATCAATCATGTCCTCGATTGCCAATGATGGTTAAATATGGTGTTTGGTCAGCTTTCCAGAACGACTCTAGGATAGCTGCATCCCTTCTTCGGCTGCACTTTCACGATTGTTTTGTTAATGTAAATTGTTTCTTCCGTTTAGTTTCTTTCATCTTTTTTGAATAATATTGAACCGTTTTTATCAGTTTAAACTTTATTTTTTAAAAAAAAAAAATAGTAGTTTGAATTATAACTCTTTGCTGTATCTATAATTTTCCTCATGGCGTAGGGCTGTGATGCTTCTCTTCTTCTGGACGACACAGACGATTTCAAAGGGGAGAAAAATGCATTTCCAAACCGGAATTCAGTACGTGGGTTCGAAGTCATCGATGCAATAAAAGAAGACGTTGAGAGATTTTGCCCGGAAACTGTTTCATGTGCTGATATTCTAGCTCTTGCTGCGAGAGATGCTGTTCTCACGGTTAGCTCTAGGCCGATTTTCTTGCAGAAATCGTCTAATGGTTCCATGTTTTCTTAATTTGGCTTGTCCAACTTCGTGTTGTCCAGGCAGGAGGACCCTTTTGGTATGTTCCACTAGGCAGAAGAGATGGAATCACAGCTAGTCAAAAAGCAGCTAATGAACAATTACCCTCACCATTTGAACCTTTGCAGAATCTCACAGACAAATTTTTATCTAAAGGACTCGACTTGAAAGATCTGGTTGTCCTCTCAGGTAAATTAATTGAAAACTCTCGATCAATTATTTATGTTCTTATACAACTTCTTTATGTATAAGCCCGCTTAGATTTAAATAATTGATTGAACCGATTGTTCTAAAAATTTTTAACTTAGAAAAAAATAGTCAATCAATTATTTAAATTCTAACAGGTTATATATCGGACAGGAGGGCATACGATAGGTTTCGCCCAATGCTTCACATTCAAGAGGAGACTTTTCGACTTCAAGGGTTCCGGCAAGCCTGACCCGACTCTCGATTCGTCGGCGTTGAGAAACCTAAGGAGCATGTGTCCAAACAAAGACATAGCTAACACCAATCTTGCTCCTCTTGATTATTCAAGTACTTCTAAGTTTGATAATTCCTACTATGCAAACCTAGTCAACAACACAGGCCTTCTTGAGTCCGATCAAGCACTGATGGCTAATCCAAACACAGCTGCAGTTGTTAATTCTTATAGTTCAAACCCTTTTCTCTTCTCCAGAGATTTTGCAACCTCCATGATCAAGCTTGGCAAGGTCGGAGTCTTGACTGGCACGGATGGCCAGATTAGGAAGACATGTAGATTTGTCAACTGATATATACATATATATATATATATGGAACTCTCGGAATATAGAAGAACTCTTATAAATAGTGCTGTTTTACTTATGTTTCTACATACGTGCACGTAACTCATGATCAATGTAATATTAGAAGAGATTTAAAACAAATAGAGTTTGGCTCAATTTTGGGTTTTAGTTTTTTACTTCAAAAACACTTCTATAATCAAAAGGAAAAAAGGCAAAATATATTTTTGACAGGCTTAAAATCAAACTTTATAATGTATAGTTTTTAAAAGATAACCTAGTTATCATAGTCAAGTTAAAATCCTAAAAACAGTGCTGATGAACCTGTTGAAATTATAAAAAGTAGGCAGAAACGAACCTCCCTCATGTATAAAGTGTCTATATGTATATGTGTATATATAGACACACACATATATATATATATATTCATGAAGTGCAAATTTATGTTTAAATGGATATTAAACTTCAAAAATCAGCCATAGTGGCAGCCACCATAAGTGGTATAATAGCCACTCTTCCACCAACCAAGTGGAGAACCAGTTTGCAGCAGACTCTGCAACCTTACACTTATCAGCAATCTTATATCTTTTTAATATTATAATCAAGTCCTCTTTTTTTTAAATTTTTTTTTTGTTTTTGACACTTAATTTTCCACTGCTTTGAATTCCTACCAAGAAAAAAAAAAAAAAAAACAGTTTTCTTGGTGAGAGTTAAAATGCATACGGATTCAAAAAAGAAACCGACAAAGAGTGCTTGGATTCAAAAAGGAAATAATACCAAGAAAAAGCTGGTAGATGCTTTTGTTATTTTGTACAAACCCATCGAGATCCATGTCCTCCTTTGTTGTCATTCTTCATAATTTCATAAAATTAAATACATTTTTTTTTTTTTTTACTTTTCTACTTTGACCTAATTTGCTCCTGCTTTACATAGAGCACAACAGTTTGATTTTGCATGATTGGATCTGCCAGAATTATTAAGCATCATGAGCTATCATCATCATCGTCATCATCATATTCCCTCCTTTCAGATTCTCTAGACTGACTTCTTATAATTCACTCTTTGACTCCTGTGTTTATGGCTGTGTTTGGGTTCACACCATTTTCTACAGCTATAAAAACTCTCTTTTTCTCCAGGAACAAAAATAAAAAAAGGGAGAAAAACTCTTTTTTAAAAAGCTTAAGACTTTTGAGAACAATAACGAAGCTTTCTGCACACCCACAAACGTATATACATGTATACGTATGTAGATAGAATTATGTATACAAGTAGGCATGAATGAGAAGGTAGACTCCAGCTAACAATGGAGGATATAGATAGGGAAAGAAAAGCAAAAGGACAGAAGACAGATGACAGAAGACAGGAACCAATTAGCTTAAAGTTATATTACATTATTGCTAACTTTTTGGCTCCAATAAAAACTACATTTCATTTCACCAACCTTTTTGACCTTACATGAAAAAGTAAACTTCACCCAAATTATCTACACAAACAAAAGCTCCCCAATTTCATTCATTGGATTTAAATCCATTACCCAGAACTGAGAAACCCATTTTCTTTACAAAAAAAATGTTAAATTTTTTTATTAATTTTGATGGGTTTTGTTTCTAATTTGAAACTTGGCAGAAAAATGGCGAAATCGTAAAAGGGTAGAGAAAAAAGTTTGAGATGATGATGACATCCTGCCTGCCAGGTGCTTGTTGAAATGCCTCAAAGAATAGCCGCCAGGTGCGCCTCTTGGGACTCGGTCAACTGCCGGCAGAGACACCTGTTTGCTGCCTTGGCAAAACAGGTTGAGCACCACGCAGCTACTCTTCCTTCCAGAAAATGATATATATATATATACACACACACACACATATATAATCATTTTACATTACCATCACATTTATTTTATCCATTTATTTTGGATTTATGTAGTTGAAAGCATTTATGGGTAAGATTTGTATGTATTATACTTTAGGGAAATTTATTTTTTAAGGGAATTTTTAAACTTGAAGAATTAAATATTTTTAGATTAAAAAAAGAAAGAAAATAGTTTTTTTTTTTTTTTTTTAATGATAAAACTTTTTTATGAAGAATAAAAGGTGGTTAAATAATTTACTTTATTTTTGTAAAGTGGGTAAATTATTTACTTTTTTTGTCGTCTAAATCACCTTTCTCTTTATTTTTACTTTTTAAACATAGGGTAAATTTTATTTTTTTTTAAAAAAAAAATAGTATTTTGTTAATTTTCTTGCTTTTATCTCTTTTTGTAAAAATATTTTTTTATTTTGTAAATAGTTTTAAAAATAAATATTAAAATCAAAAATGGGTTTTTGGGTTTTAAACCCCCTTCTCCTTTCTCCTTCTCCTTCTCCTTCACTTCACAGTCTTCCCCCCCACTTCCAGACAGTCTCTCCACTTTTCACTTCCTCTTCTCAACAAAAGTTTTCAAAGTAAAAGTCTCAAGAAAATCCAAAAGCAAAATCGAATAAAAGATCCTTTAAAGGAAGAAGAAGAAAAAAAAAAAAAACCATTAATCCACTGGAAATCTCCAGCAGCTCCACTCCTGAAAATCAAAATTCTTTTCTTCCTCTCTGGTTATCTTTCCTCTTCTTTTCTCAACCCTTTTTGACACTGTAAATTTTCTTCCTAACTTTCTCGCTAACCAAACAAAACCCTGATTTTTTTATTCTTCTTTCTTTTCCTTCTCCCATTTTCCACAAACCCAAACAGAAATATCACCAACCCGCTTCTAAATTTACTTCCTCTAACCAAAACCCGTCTTTCTCCATTCTCATTCGAAGCCTAAAAACCAAAACTTTAAATCTTAAACCCTAACCGCAAGCCAGCTAAACCCTCTCGTTAAATCTTTCCACACCCCCCGCCTTTGCTTCTCGGGTCATGTCTACACCGCTAGACCAACAACAGCAACAGCAACCGCCGCCACTACCCGTGACCCAACAAGCCCGCACGGCTCATTCCGGTCACGGGTCGGTTGGACCCGTAATAGCCGTCCTCGCGGTGATCACAATCCTCGGTGTCATAGCCGGCATGATTGGTAGGCTCTGTTCGGGTCGTCGGATCTTGGGTCACGGCCAGTACGACGTTGAAGGATGGCTCGAGAGGAAATGTTCCTCGTGTATCGACGGTCGGATCGACCCACGCCCGGCCAGAACCAGCGGGTCGGCCGAGCTTCCGACTGTGGCGGTGCCAGCAGAGCAAGCCGCTGCTCCTGCTGGTGGAGCGGAGATAAAAGAAGAACCGGAGCAAGAACAAGCTCGAGATAAACCACGTGGTCGTGGACACGGAAGGGATTGAATCTTGATTCGGGTTTTCGGGTCGGTTCCGGGTTACACAACACATCTCAAAATTTGAAAATTGGGGGTATAATTAATTACTTCTTGCTTAATTTGTTAATTATCTTGCTAATATCATTGTTAATGCGGAGCTTTTTGGATTAATTAATTAAATGATGATTTATTGGGGGGCATAGGCTGTAAATCTTGAGCATGAGATTGAAGAAATTTTATTAATTTATATTTCTTTTGTCATTTATCAATCTTATATAATTCATTAACTCTTAATCATATTCAAATTTTTTTTACGAAATTATTTATAATAAAATGAGATAAGAGATTAGTGCCTTCAAGCTTTTTAAGTTCATATCTTCAATTGATATTCTAATAGTTTCGTATTTTACTAAATACGTGTAGAGTTTGTATCGTAGCTTATCAAATATGTTATGATCGATAGTTGAATATATTATGAATTGACAGTAAATTATTTATAGTATTTAATTTAATGTATTTGATAATTGAAAGTATTTAAATAATTATAATGTAGTTTAAAATTATGTTAAAAAAAATAATTATAGTATAAAAAAATTTATCTCTTAATTTTGGTTATAATCGATAATTTAATAATTTTGAAATTTATTAAAAATATAAAATTTATTATTTAATAAATATATTATAAATTGACAGTAAGTAAATAGATTTATCGGTATTTTATAACGGACAAATAGTGTTAATGAATCAAAAATAATTGTAATGTTAAAAATTTCGTCTCAAAATTTTTATTCATTAAAAATAAGAGCTTTTTTAAGTTTGTGTTTGCAATCATGTGTTCTAGTTAAGTTAACTTAAAAATTGTACTATCATTTTGAAATTATCATGTTATATAATTTTATAATATAATAGAAAAGTTAAAAGAAAATTTATATATGTTTTATAAAAATAGCACCATACTAGATCATATTTCTTGATTGTTACTATTTTAAGCATAAAAGTGTTGTGAAATATAAAAATTTATTTATTACATAATATTTTTTTTTTATGAATATAATATATTTATCGATATTTAGTACTAATTTAATTACATAATTTTTTTAACATAAGAGTCGTGAGGTAGTATGTAAAAGTTCAGAATTTAAAAGAATATGAATTTGTATTTTAAATGCGAAAACAAACAATAATGTTATAGTTTACATTTTTTATGCATTAAATTAGAATGTCTAATAGAGTTATAGGAATGTCCATTCTACAATTGTTCGTAAAAATAAACGAATAAATGATTAAAATAAGTAAATAAATATTTTAGAGGTTAACATTTACTGGCACTTGATGGGGTCCGGAAGGTAATCTACTCACAACCCTCCTGCTGATCAGAATTTGGATCTTGATCTTTTTTATCTGAAATGGTTTAATAAAATAGTGAACTACATGAGCCCAGTTAAAACATCACGTTAATCACTAATACGAGAAACCGAATATTGGTAAAAATCATAAAACAACTAATTGAGTCATTAATTTGAGTAAATTCATTAACCATAAAGAAAACTGTTTATTCCGTACTTACCATTACAAGTTTTCCAAAACAATATATGAAGACAATAAATTCGAATATCATTCTTATGACATATTTATATGAACAATAACAGTGAACTCACCTCATTTCCTGTTTATCGGTATCTTTGTGAGTTCATAAGGATATTTTCCTACTCGTGAACCCAATATATAAATTTGTCAATTAACCTGGTCATCCTCATACTTCGTCTGGTAATGGAAGTTAAATACATCATTACCTCAATACCCTAACCAATATGAGAGTAAACCACATCTCTCAAACCTTTTCAGTATGGGACTTCTCAGCCTCATCCAACTTATTTAATATCCACATTATGATTCCTTATTTATCGGACCCATCCGCCCTTTCTCAGGGTACCCAATAAATCTTTCATATACAGATCCCCATAGATAAAACAATCACCAATCGCATACCAACATCTCATTTTATATTCACAGGTTAATTTAAATGGCATCTAAGCAAACAATACAGTTTAACAATCAAGACATATAATCAAATACTTTATTTCCAATTATTCGATCAAATCAAGGAAATCACAATTAGGCAACACAATCAATAAACAATATATAATTCAAAGTAATAATTTGAAGCATACGACAGATAATAAACAATTTAAGCAAAATAAAAAAAAATAAATAGGCAACACAGATAAATTAGAGCAATCGTACACCAACTAGTTTTCGGTTCCACTAGTGACTTGTAATTATTGTTAAGATTTTTTTTCTAATTTTTACAAAACACGAAATTATTAATTATTAGGTCTCAATTTACCATAACAGAGAATATGGTGAGGGATATTTACCCGTATTGGTGTCTCGAAATGCAGTATTATTTACTACGCCTCCTAACTGACCCCGGGTTTCCTGAATTTTCCATGCGAAAATCAAAATACTCGTCGCGTACTCAAAAATATCCCAAAAATCCAATATCGGTGTTGAAACCCTTTTCGGCCAATTTTAGGGTTCTGCCACTGCGCCGCCACTGTGTTCCGATGCCGATTCCATCGCCCACGGTGGTAGTTTGTCTTGGCCTAGTCAAATTTGGTCGATCTTGGTCGGTTTTACACCTATCTATGCAGAAAAAATACATTGAAAGTCTCGGTTGGCCAGAAAAATAAAAAAAACAAAACCTACTAGTGAAGGGGTCTTTCAGTGCAGCGACTCCGCAGGTTCTCCTTCGTAGTTGGGATTCTTCTTTAGCTAACCTGCACCAAAAAAAGACGATGAACACAGTGGTTAAAGAATCGTGTGAAATAAAAAATAGGAATGGGGTCATCGGAGAGGGTTTTGATAGCGATAGCTCCGCCGGACTTTGCCCGTAGTTTTTGTCTCACTCACCATTCCTTTTGCTTTGATATGGTCACAGGAAGACTCAAAATTGAATTCCAAATAGGAATGAAAAATTTTTACATTTTTTGGCAATCAGTTGTGGCTCCGGTGCAGCGGCGGCCAGAGATCTACCTTCTTCTCCGGCGTCTGGTTTTTCTTCTCCGACGAGGGCTGGGCGACTAGGGTTAGATTCTCCTGTGAAGAGGAGTTAAATACTCATCTCTTTTTCGATCCAGGCTGTCTGTTTGTGTCGACGTAAAGCGATGAGGACCGTTCGATGATTTTTCGTTTAGGCTGATGGCTGGACGAATCTGGACTGCCCATCGCGATCCATCTCGTCCGTCCAATCGTATCTAAAGAGATAATACATCTGGGTCATTTACGCGCACAGGATGAGGTCTAGACCGTCGGATTGCCGAGCACACGGATCGCTTGCATGGCTTCCCGCGTGGTGCTGATGTCAGCCTGTCTGCCACGTAGCATGCTCTGGTTCGCTTAGGTTGCTGACTGGGTTGTCCCATGTGCCCAAACTTTCTCTT